GCGCCGGACCCTCCCAAAGAGCCTTAGGTCGGGCGTGTCCCCCTACAGGGGGATTTGACCAAAATTAAAGATACCCAAACAATGCTCCAAAATGGTGGAGAAATGCTCAAAAAATAATCCTCTGACTATTTTTTGACTATTTTTAAATTTTCCCCCTGTAGAGGGACAGGCCCGATTTAACAGGAGCCCGGAGAAACAGCGCGCGCGCGCGCAGAGCACCACCGTCGTGAGCGGTCGTGTGCTGCCTCTGCTGTGGTCCACCGTCGTGCGCGGTCGTGTGGTGCCGCTGTTGCCGTTCTCGCTCTTGTGTTTTGTTCGTTCCGCCTGCGTGGGGTGCGGGGGGGCACCGCGACTCGGCTGTACGGACCAAGGGACAGGCCGACAGAGAGAAGCGCGGGCAGGCGAGGGGCAAAACTGGGCCGTGGTTCTCGCGGTTGTCCTCGTGGTCGTGCGGAGCTCTCCAGGTGGTCACCTTGCTACACGGGGTCCCCTCGGCTGCGTGGTCCTGTTCGTGGTGCGTGGTCCTCGCGGTTGTGTCGTCCTCATGGTCGTAATGTTAGGTCAGGCGTATCCTCCTACAGGCGGATGGTAGACGAACAAAAAAAACAAAAAATGAACAACACAGACTTACAGCATACTCAAACAATAGTCCCCTGAGTACTTTCTGACTATTGTTGAATTTTCTTCCTGTAGAGGGACATGCCCGAATTAGTCGTACTGTCCTCTAGCAGAACTGGGTACCCGTGGGTGAGCGTCTTCTTCATCGGCGTTCCGACATTGGGCGGAAGGGGGGGGGGAGGGGGGTCCAACTCTGGACCTCTGCTAGACTGCGACTGCTTCCAACAGTGCGTCCTGTGGGGGAGACCCCCCCGGCTTGACACAGGAGCCAAAAGCAGTCAAAATCTATTCCATTGGTCGGCGACACGTAAGAGTGACCCTAGGCAAGAGTGCCCTTTGGTGCGCGGCCTTAGGGGGGCCCGTGGGGGCCTGGAGCAACCGCGCAAGCCGAGGCCGTCGGATTGCGTCAACGATCGGTGGGGCGCGCTTCGATAGATCCCTAGCGCCAGCAGGCAATTGCGGACTTCCCCCAATTTTTGGAGGGGGGGAGGCGAGGGCCGTGAAGAATAAGAAAACGATCACCGGTTGCGTGGCGTCGCTGTGACTGGGAGCCCCGCTCGCGACACCTCCCCGCCTCCAGCGCGCGGAGAGGCATCGTTAAGGGCCCCCTCGCTGGCCGAGGCCATGCCGGTGGTGGTGCCGCGCCTCCTCTTCTCCGACGGGCGAAAGCCGGATCGGCATCCCAGTCGCTGCCCAGCTCCTCCTCCTGCCTCCTCCTCCTCCTCCTCCTCGCGCGTGCAAACTTTCTCCAAACAGGACCAGGCCCGGGCAACCGAGGGCCCCGCACTGAAGGCCTGGACAAGACCGCCTGCGTGCGGCGAGACGAGCCGCCGACGTCCACACAAGTGCCAGGCCGTCGCCCTGTCGTCGTGCGCCCTGCTCTCCGCACGAGTTGTTCGCCCAGCCTTCGGGTTAGCCAGACACGTTGAGTACGTACTCGCCTTCCCACGGGTCGCCTGCTCCAGAAACAGGGGTAAAAAACTGCACTCGAAACGAATGCGAACACGCGCCTACGGAAGGAACAGTCACTTGTTTGCCCGTGCAAGTTCGAACATGTGCATGCACATGCCCACACTTGATCAGGCCTGGTCACATTCGTTTCAGTACTGCTCCCGTTTGCCCAGTACCCATGGTTGACAATGATAGCGCATGCATTATTTCATGTATGTGTCGCCGCCATTGCAAGCGATTGCTGCGTAATACACGGCCTGGCATGCATTCTTCGATGATGCTTACACGTGCACGACAGTTGTCCGAACACCCGTTCCCTTACTAGTATGTACGTACGAGTATGCTGCATGAGCTTACATTTGCATGGTGCTACCTGCCAGCGCGCGCTTGCACGACGGCCCTTGCTTACACCTGGTACGGTGTTCGCAGTATGGTTTCCAAATGCGGCCATACAGACTGACGCTTGCAAACAAGTGCGTCAACTGGCAAGAATTGGTTTACAGCTGGCGGCGCTTATTTACACTGCTGTCGTGGCACTGCTGCATGCGCAACTACAAGCGCAACAGGACAGCACATTGTTCTATCAATGGAACTGCAGACTCAACGATACCAGCGATAACAGAGCATACAAGAAAGCACATCGAACAACACAACCAACACATACAGAGAACACACAAAGCAAGCAACACAAGCAAAGCAAACCAATAGTTACCTGATACATGTCCCGAACCGAGATTTCACGAAGAGGTTCTGGCGTCATTCTGCCCCCTCACCCAGGTTCTCGCCCAGCGCCCGCCCGAGCCCGCCCCACGCACGCTGCGCATCTGACGGGCCCTCCTGGCGTTTTGCCCACAGCCCAGCCCGTGCTCGCCTCACGCCCGCTCCGTTCCCTCTGGCCGGCCTTTCCAATTTCCTCGCCCCGTGCCCGCCTGTGCCCGCCTCGTACGCTGGCCGACGCCGCTTGCCGACTCACCTGGTGCCTACCAGATCATCTACACGCAAGAGTGACCCTACAGCAGGAGCCCGACCACAGGAAACCAGCCCGACCACACGAAACCTTCCACGAGAAACCCAACGCTGAAACCACGGGACGTCCATTGCTTTCTGGTGTGGAAACGTCACGCTTTCCATAGCAGAGCCATCGCAAACCAAGAAGCCCAGGGCACCCAGTAGGCAATCAGGGTGTTTCTTGGCATGGGCCCCTCACTGTGGGCAAGAGTGACCTTTGGCGCGCGGCTTCACGGAGGAAAAGGGATGCCAAACCTGGGCGCGCAAGCCGCTGCTACCGCTTCGCGTTCAGCGATCGGGGGACCCAAAGGTCACTCCTACGCCTAGTCGACCAATGCCCGCCTCGCGCCTGGCGCGTGCGCTGGCTGACGCCGCTTCCAGATGCAAGGCCTTGCGAGCTGGCTGTCGCGTCAGGGGGCCACTCAGATGATGCCACACAGCTTGCAATCCGTAAACTGCGCGGCGCGGACTTATCCATAACCACTGCCTGGGGGGTCACTTTTCGAGGGCCCCGCGCGTGCGGTGAGCATGCACGCACTTGTCCCCCCAAGGGCACGGATATCCATCGCCTGCTGAGGACCCCGGAGATCGAGCCCACGGGCGATGGTCACGCCTAGATTCCGCCCCAGATCAACTGCAGCACAGGTTGCACCCAGCGCGCCGCCGTGCAGCAGGCGCTGAGAGTGGAGTGCCGTCGGGCCCCTTTTGGGGTTCTCGGTTGGGTGTCGCGCGTGCTCGTGCACATGCGGCGAGCGAGGCGGGGAAATGGGAAGGAGAAGGCCTTGTCATAAGGCGGCGGGACCTCTCAGAAGCCCCAGGGCCTCCTGAGCAATGTTCTCTGCGTCTTCGGGGAAGGCTCGGAAAACTTCTCGGAAGGCTGGGGCACTTCTGGGCCTTCTGAGAAGCCCCGCCCCTTCTCGCTTCCCCCCCTGGGCTCGGCCTCCTCGATCCTCGCCCCTCGATCCTCTTCGATCCCCGCCCCTGGATTGTCCTCCTCGATCCTCCTCCTCCTCCTCCTCCTCCTCCTCCTCCTCCTCCTGATCCTCTTCCTCCTCCTCCTCCTCCTCCTCCTCCTCCTCCCCCTCCTCCCCCTCCTCCTCCTCCTCGATCCTCCTCCTCCTCCTCCTCCTCCTCCTCCTCCTCCTCCTCCTCTTCGCTCGCCGCCGACTGCACGCGCACGGAGTCCCGGGAGTCCCGGGCGCTCCCCGGCGCAGCGGCCTCGTCGTTGGGGCTCCTCACCTCCAGCACGGCACCATCGGCGTCTCTCTGTGCCAGCTCGGAGGGGACGCCGGGGACGGGCCCCCGGGAGGCCAGACAAGCTTCGAAGCCGAGGCCTACGAAAAGCCTTGAGAATCCGAAGGGGATCCTGGGGGGGGCCGGGCTCCTGCGGCAACCTCTTGAGCAAGTCCAAGGGCTCTCTCTCAATAGTCATTCGGAATTCCCTCAGGATCCCACAGGATTGGAGAACCCTCAAGATGAGTTCCGGAACCCTCAGGATTCCTGCGGCATCCTCCGGGTTCCCTCAATATTCTGCAGGGAGCTCAAAGATTTCTCTCAGGCATCCTCAGGGTTCCGTCCAGACTCTGCAAGAATCCACAGGATTTGTCCCAGGGATCGTTTTGATTTCCTCGATAATCCTCGAGGCCTTCCATGCGGCTCCGAAGAGCTCTCGCAATAGGGTCTGAAGAGATCAGGGAAACCCCACCAGGAACCAACCTTTCCACCAAGGACCAGAACCTTCTTCTCAAGCTCCAAGGCCCCCACAATTGCCGCAAGAGGACCGCAGAAGGGCCCCGAAAGCTCCCAAGATTGCCCCCAAAAGACCCCACGATCGCTCAAAGAAACTTCCGAGAGGCTCTGAGAGCGAAAGAGCCGCGAAGCTCTTCAAGCCTGACTCTCACCACTCTCGTCGTGAACCTCGTCCTCTCGTTAACGCCAGCGACGTCGCCCCCTTCCTGCTCCTCCTCCTCCTCCTCCTCCTCCTCCTCCTCCTACCTCCCTATTCATCCTCATCAAGTCTCATTCCTCCTTCTACGTTTTCTCGTCCGCACCACCCTCCTTCGACGGCAGGCTCAGCAGTTCCGCTCGAGGGTATGCTAAGCCTGACTCCACGCTTGGGCTTGACGGCTGACATACCTGTCTGTTCCACTGGATGTACCAGCGCTTCCATGATCCAGGCAACTCGCCCAGCAACCGCCTCTGGATGGGCTGGCCAGGGATGCGCCGGGCGTCAAGATTTGCACTTGCCCCTGCCTTCGAGAAAGCGGCTGGTGCTGCGCACGCGTCCCCTGCCTGCCATGAAACAAGCTGCTTCTTCTTCTGGAGTTGAAGGAGGAAGAGGAGGAAAATGAGGAAGAGGAGGAGGACGAGGAGGACGACGAGGAGGAGGACGAGGAGGAGAAGGAGGAGGAGGAGATAGAGTATCAGGAGAAGGAACAGGAAGATGGGGCTCTGAAATCCAGCCGTCATCCGGGCGGCGACTGTGCGCATCCGAGCAGTGCCCGAGCAGAACGAACTCCTACAGCTCACCGCGGCTCATCTTGGCTGTCTCCGCATGGACATCCCCCTGGCTGTCTGCAGCCCAGCAGTCCACACGGCCTCCACAAATACCAAAAGATCGCCGCTTGAAGACACCGGAGCCTCTCAATGGCAATCCCCGGCCATGCTGTTCCGAAGCCCCTCGTCCGATGAGACGTGCGTCAACGTGGAGACCACTCTGGGGTTGAATATTCATACAAGGTGCTCTGACAAGACAGCCTACTCCTATCCATGCGCATGGCGTGAAACAACAAATTCCTGAAACGAAGAGTACCTGCGAGGAGTACAACGAATTCATGAAACGACCTTGGCGATCCAGAATCAGGCGTGCCAGGGTTCCTGGTGGTCCAGTACAGAGGGAGATCGTTTTCGCCCATGCGTCCCCCGATCTTTCGCGCTTACTCTCTTTTTCATTCACCAATTGTTTGGGGGTGGTCTCAACAGCGGCCGGGGAACGTTCACTCCGCATCAGCACAAAACGTTTGCCCCTGAGTGTCACGCGAGTCCTCGCGGATGCAGGCCTGGACTGCTTCCGTCTCCCAGCCTCGGCGGGCTCACGTCGATCGCGGGAAAGAGCGCAGGAGAAGGACAGATGATGCCAGCCGGGTGTCTGGAAAGTCATTTCAGAGACTGGGCGACCTGACATAGCACATAAACACGCATGGCGGGCTCACATGTATGTGGCGGGTTCTGGGCACCATGAGCCCGAACAAGACGCCCTCTTTTCGAGTGCGAATTCGTACTTCCGCCGGCTTCCGAGGTGGCCAGTCCTTCTCTCCTCGAAGGCGAGGCCCTTTCTGAAGCGCCACATGCGGAACGTACTGGGGCCACTTGCTGGATGCACGCGCGCCAGGCCTGCGGCTGGCGTCGCACGAGGGCCCAGCGCCAGAAAAGGCATGCGGCCACATCAGTCCAGTTCTCGCCCGACCATGCGCATCCATTACGGTCGGGCTTGATTGGAGAGGACACGCGAGAGGACACAAGACCCTTTCGAGGGCCACGTCGCCACAGGAATGTACGAAGCATAGGTCGCGAAAAACAGGACACAAGGGTACCCTTGATCTGGCAGGGTCGACCTACTAATCCAGGCCGCCTGTATCAGTGTACATCAAAATGATCAAGAGAATTACAGCCGAAAAGATGATCAGCCAAACTATTAGGATCATAATTCGGGCCAGCTTCCTGGAGAATTCTTGAAACAAGCCTGGGCAAACTTCTGCTGTTAATGCTGGGGGCGAGCGTGTTCAAGAAGAACCGGGCCAGCCTTCTGGCAGGTCGATGGAGAAACGTTGGCACAGCTTTCCGGGAGGAGGTTTCTGAATCATATGCTCGACTGCACGTAGACTTGGGAGAGATGAAGCAGCCAAGGTCAGCGATTTGTCCATGAGCGGTGATGTACGCAGTACGCAGTGTAAAGCAAGGACGGCTACGACGATCCGTAGCGGATATCCCCGCTGCACACGAGGTGTACACCCGCTCTCGGTTAAGCAAAGCATGCTCTGATGCCCGCCAGCGCGCTTGCGGGTAAACTCTGCACCCTGCGAAGACATGCCCACGCCTTGCCGTCGTCATCGTGGTGGAGGCGGCCAGGGGTCTGAGCTGGGCTGGGCCCCGCGGAAAGCCGTCAATGGGGGGGCGCATGATGGTAGGTCCGTTCCACATCGGTCGCCAAATGCCTTCTTCGTCCTCGTCGTCGTCGGCGGCGTCGGCGTCGTCTCCGTCTTCGGCGTGGCGTCGCGTCGTCGTCAGCACCGGTTCAACATCGGCATCTCCGTTCGACATCGGTCACCAGATCCCTCCCGGGGTCCACCTGGCGCAGTTTTCTTAATCCTGGGTCCGTTCTCGACAGCCCCAGCGCCCGACAGCGACGCCAGGGGGACGAAAGAGGCAGCACAAAAAAACACGTTCTCGAGCCCAGCGCCTCGAACCTGCCCCCCCCTCCTTTAGTGGGCTTGTTTTCCACCGGCACCACCAGAAGTAGGAGGGGGAGGGTGTCCTCCTCCTTCTCGTCCTCCTCCTCCTCCTCCTCCTCTTCGTCCTCCTCATCCTCCACTTCCCCCCCCCCCCTCCAATGTATGGTGGTGGTGGTGGTGGTGGAAAACAGGCCCATCACCCTATCTGCCTGCCAGAGACAATGCTGGGCCACCTCGGACACCCAGCCGACTGCAAGTCCCAAGTCGACTTCGTCCTCGTCGTCGTCGGCGGCGTCTGCAGCGTCGTCTCCGTCCTCGGCGGCGTCGCGCCGTCGTCAGCGGCGGTGCGCTAGGCCGCGCACACTCCAGGTGCCTCCGCAGCTCGGCCAACTGCCTTCGAGGCGCGTGCGAGGGCGCGCAGGCAAAGGAGCCGTGCCAGGACGATTCGGCAGGGTGGGCGAGAGATCTGGCG